GAGCTCGAGCTGCCGGGCCTAGGCCTCGCCGGGGTGCCCACGGGTGGAGCCCGCGGAGAGGCTTGGAATGAGGCGCCGCTCCTTGCAGGGCAGCGGGCACCGGGGGGCGGCCTCGGCTCTCCGTGCTTGCCTTTAACTCACAAGGCCTGGAAAGAGCAAAGAGCTCTTAGGAAATGTAAAGGTTAGTCCAACCCGCCTGCAGAGTTTAAAAAAAAAAAATTTAAAAAAAAAAAAAAAAAAAAAACCCAACTAAATATAGTATCAAGTTCTGGAAGAGTTCAAGAAAGTATGCTCGATGGTATGTTTACTGTATTTTCCAAAGGACTGAGTCACACTGCAAAAGTAACCAGGCTTTTTCTGTTCTCTGTACAGCTACTGTCTAATGGCTGTATGCACCTTGTGAAAACAAGTGGAAGAGGAGGACCCTTCGTGCAGCATCAATAGCTGGGAAACACAGCTGCTTGCATCTGGATGCAAAAGGCATATATATATATACACACATAATATCCTAACAGATCTCTGGCTGTGCCACAAGTTTGGGTTTTTACTTGTGTCTGTCTTCTAAATTGTGCCTTAAAGGTGATGTAAGACAGCTTGGCTGTGCTTTTGTAATTGATGCCTAAAGGTTTGTAAGCAGAAACAAAAATACGATTTGAATAAAGTCAACTGAGAGACTGCAGAGTAGCTGTGAATAAAAGTCAGCTCTTATGTAGACTCAAGTTCTACCTCTGACCTTTTCCCTCAGTACATAAAACTTACCCAGCAGTTTTACTTCCAAAAAGTTAATTGTGAGGCTGTGGTGCTGTTTGGTTTTCTTTTACAGCTTTCTCTCTTTATACCTGAGTCTTGGTGAGATTCTGCCTTTTATCAGGTCCTGTGTCTTCCCAAACATGCAAGTGTTTAACAGCAGTAGCAGCCTACTGTCCTTACGTAATGGTTTAAATAAAACAGGTTCATATTTCCTTGCTCTAAAGAGTGAAAGGGTTCCATCAAAATTGCCTCACTGTAGGGAGACTTTCAAAATAGTGTTGCATTCTCAGGAGGAAAAAAAAAAAAAAAGGGAAGCTAAGTACATGGCATAGGCTTTTTACATGATCAGGATTTGGGCAAGACAGTCTTCAACTAAGGATGAAGTAGGTTCAGTTTTCTTGAGTAGCTAGTTTCTGAGAAGTACAGTTCATGGTTGTTTTTTTTTTTTTTTTTAAGTGCAGAAGGGCACTGAACAGTGATTACACCCTCACATACAGAAAAATTTGTTTTCCATTTTCTCCAAATGAAGCTCTTGAAGAGACAAGTTTCAAGGTATCTTCTAGTAATTTAGTTTTTCTCCTTCAGCTGGATCTGACATGCAAGGTTTTACTTATCCTTGAAGCTACCAAAGTGCAGGCTTTTGATGCATTTGGCTTAGGCTATTTTATGCATTTCTGGAGCAGGTGACTACAGGTACCAAGGCAAATTTCACTGATCCCCAGGAGAGCAAAGGTAGTAAAGTAGAAAGACAGTTTGTGAAACTAATCAGTTGTCACCAAGTCTGTGGGTTTACAAGTATTAAAATTGCTTTATGGGTATTTAGAAAGCTAAACAGATTTAACAGCTTTGTAAGCAAATACATCAGAAGATCATTTTACCCTTCAAAAACGTAACCGAGCCACCATGTCTGCAGAACTTTCACCCATTAGTAGCAGCATTATCTGTCACTGTTTAAAAATGTAGAGGACAAACAGAATGGAAGACAAAGATATTTTTAATTTTTATCTGATAGCTTGAACAAGCAGAACTTTTCAAGAAAATAATTCTAAAGACTGAAAAATATATTAATTACAAGACTTGTTAATGTCTTTACTGTTACAAAAATTGTCTAGGCTCTTATACAAATCTATAGCCGGAAGGGGACATTTATAAAAAAATAAATAGGCACCCTAGGTAAGTTGAAACAAGTTACCACATATTAGTTAGCAAATATTACATACATACATGGAGTGCAGAGTCAAATATAAAAACAAAGGTGCCTCCATTAGCTGTCTATTTACTACAATTAAATACCTGGTAAACATGGGTCACAGAATGTTGCCTGGTAAGACTGTTTCAAGCAAAGCAAGGAGGCTGAAAGTACATCCACATTACTGCAGCTACTTGAAAAATAAGTTCACCAGTTGTGCTTACTGGAAGCCAGATTCATTGGTATCAGCAATAGGCATTCATATTGCTCATCGTCCAGAAGGAGGAACATTGCTATGCAGCTTAAAAATGTGTTCTAACGTCATTCACAGTTGTTGCTGTGCTATTCATACACAAAAATACTGTCATTTCGAATACAAGATTGTTGCAAAACATTTTACAAATAATACATTATTTACAAATTCCAATAATCTTTGTTTTTAGGCAAGTATTAGAAGACAGTTTTGCTTAACTGGCTATGTATATTATGTAACATTACTAGATGACCTAGAAAAGTTTAATTTACAGGTTCTGAAATCTCTCTCAAAAATATTACAATTAGGAATCTTCCAAGTTCTCATGTTTCAAGGGTTCTTTTTCTGTATTCAACTCATTTTCTTACAAAAGGATAACAATTAAGTTGCTGTTCCCCAGCAGCCATACCTAAACATGCATCATTATTTGCACTACAAATTCTAGAATTCATTCCCTCCCCACCCCAAGTGCTACAACAAATTTTGATCAAGAAGGCAGATTACTCTGAGATACCTGGTTTGTTGCATATATCATGTTCCAGTTCTACTGACATGTAATTTAAACATAAAAAACCAACCTGACCTTGACAAAGAATAACCAAAACCACTGTTTAACTGTCTACCTTGGATAATTGTGCTAAAACTGTCAACATTTGGTTGAAGCACTAAAACTCATGTGAGGTTTATAAACATAAAGCCTTTTGAACAGCGCCAGTATAAGCACGAGTGTGTATTATCATTGCATTATTTTCAGCTCTAAAAGGCATTGGCATTTAGATGTGATCAGCAGCACCCCAAGTTAACACTCTGAAATGAATAATGGCAAAATTTAGCTTTTTTGGGTTGTGTCAGGCTTTGCTGACATAAATTCAAATTATCTCTTGTTCGACATGACTGTCAGACTGAAGCAAAAGGCCAGGCCCTGCTCTGAGCGCGCAGGCTGCAGCGGGGTCATTTCAAACCCTGAGGGCCGCGAGGTGGGTGAAATCCCCCTCACCCCTACTTCCCCCCAGCCCTCCTGGGCCACCTGCTGGGCCTCAGTACTCGCTACGCAGTTCTGCACGCCGATTTAGCCAGCCAAGTAAGAGCCAAATAAATCCTCCTCTTTGTTCCTGAAATAAGTGAGGTTAATGAAAGTCATGGTAGTGCCAGAGCTGCCAGAACTGCAGGGCAGAGTGTTAGAGCAGAGAAAGAGGAATCTCTTCTTCCGTGCCCCCTCAGCTCTAACGGCTGCAGGTTCAGGCAGGCTAATATGGAACATAACCATGGGTAGGACAAGTCCAAATGGGGAAAAAAACCAACATTGTCAGTAAAACCAAGTTTCTGATCCGCATTAAACATTGCTCAAAATGTCAAGTTTAAAAAAAAGATAGGTTAAATAAATAGCAGCACTGACTTTGCATGTAGTTGTAGAACAAATCAGAACTGAATGTAACTAGTAAAACCTTACAGAATTAATCTTTCATAGTTACATGATAGCTCTGCATTTTAGAATTAGAATCCTACTCTGCTGTATCAGTTTGTAGCTTAAGTGGTTGAATTTAATTGTAATAAGTTAACATATATAGCTTAAAGGGTAAAAATATCTGATAAATGGATTTAAAAATGTACACTAATATGGAGCAGATACATTAATAGGACAGTCTTATTACTGTAGCTTATTTGAATTCCCTTTGAAAAAAATCTTCCTGAACACTTGCAAACCAGAACTGTTTTTAAAGAATTATTATTAAGGCTTTTCAAATAAAAATGTTAGAAATTCTCTGGGTAAACTTGTATTCAAGACACTTGAAGGTTTGTGAAAGCACGGACTCTCAGAGAAGTCAGCTGAAAAACACCCATGTCACCTCCTGCTACCTATCAAGATAAATACTGCTTATTAGAACTACATTTACTGCACTACATATGGGAATAGGTTTTTCCCTTTTGTTAGTCTAAGTTTGCAGCGACTACGGTCTGAAGGAGCACTTTTTGAAATGCAACTAATCTTAACAAAATCAGTAACATCTAGTTGATCCCACTACTGTAAGCTGCGTACACCCAAAGGGACCATTTTTAATATAAACGGTTGAAGACAAGCTGAGCAATGGAGGTGGGCATTAAGGCAACTAGAGTAACAAGTCAAAGAACCAGAAGTTTAGCACCTCTTCTCCTCCATTCACCTCTGTTTGCATATTCATTTAAACGGTCGTAACTCCTAAGCAAAGAACAGTCAGTTGGGTACCGAGTTGTCACACATACAGATTCATCATTTGTGCCCATTTACAGACTATACGAAATGCAAAATTCAGATCCAGATTGTTGTGGGGTTTGGTGGGATTTTTTTAAAAGATTCTATCTACTGCAGTGGATGCCTTCTATATTTGCCTTGTACCTTTGCTCAGACGTGGGATGCCTGGGCTCAAGAGTAGCATGGTATGTAGCATTCAGTTCTACTCCAGCTGGTGGAGGATGTTTTTCTTTGTGAAAGCTTCCACTGTCTGTAAAATACAGCTTGGGTCTCTGATGATACTTCATCCTGTATGTGTCAGTCATACAACTATCTACTGAAAAATAAGTCGTTAGGGATACACTATCATTTCCATCCACATAGCCAGCCCTTGGTCCCATGGGACGAGATCCTTTCTTTAAAAAGTTTTCAGACACAGTCCAAAAGTCATTAACTGATACACGAGGTGAAGACTCTGGTTTGTGAGCAAACAGCTCGTTCCCTTGAAACGGCTCCTTCGGCCTCTGTTCGTCGGTGAGCACGCCTGCCTCTGGCGCAGGTCTGGCAGGGAGACCTGCCTGCCTCAGGGGGTTGCTGGGCAACACCTCTGGCGGTCTCGTATCGGCTGCCGCGGTACCTTCTGCGCCGGGCAGAGCGTGCAGGGCGTACTTCTTCGGTGGTAACGGGGGAGGAAGGTTCTGGTAGGCTGCTTCAGGCACCCAAAGAGCATCCGCCCTTCGGGGCGGGTGCCCGGCATGCTCAGCGGGGGGCAGAAGCACCACAGGCCTTTCTGATGGGTTCTGTGGTGCACAAGGGGACAACCCCACCTTGGGACCAAACGTTCTCATGTGATGAGACTGGGGCCTGGAAGAGGAGTGCAAGTCACTGCTGGTCAGCTTCCTTCCACAGGCGTTTTCTGCATAGGGGTGGGATACACCCTCGGCACTATATACTGACACATTCACCTTCTCAAACTTGTCTGGATTAAGCCACTCTGATGAATTCTGTTCATGTGCCTTGCTCCTACTTTCTGACTTAATAATCTCTTTAAGGACTGGCTGTAGAGCTGATGATGGGAGAAGCTTCCTAGTGGTCTCGGGCATTTCAACTCTAAAATACAAAAACACATAGGATGTAAGTATCCGTAAAACATAACAAAAAGACCAAATAATCCAGGGATTTTTTTTTTTTTATTTCTCTCAAAAGACCACCTTGGTAACATCAATTAAATATTCAAACTGACTAGAGAATTGTGATCTGCTTAACATTCTGCCATTGGATTAAAAGTTGTATTAAATAACTCCAAGCTTTCATTCATCTGAAATGCAAAGTGTCCCAAAATATGTCTGCAAATGATTGAGTATCTGTAAGGTAAGATAAATTCCTTCAACATTCAGGACTATGTCAAACATGACCTCTGTTCTCTTTTAAGCATCCTTGTGACTCAGTCTGATACATCCACTTCTGTTGTACTACATCAATTCAAAAATATTATATCACTTTTTTTCTGATAAGATGATTTAAAACCATATAAGTTAGCTGGTCCCAGTAACAGTGTCCAAATTAAAATAAAGACAAAGCCTTCAGCTTTATCAATTATGTAAAATAAAAAAGGTGCCTGTCAAAAACATTCAATACCTTAACTTTTGCATCTTAATATTGATTACTATCACAAACAAATTCAGTATTTCTTAAACTATTACATTGTAAATTAATGCCAGTATTAGTTACCTCTTTACTGGAGGACTGGGTACCTGCAATTGTACTTCTGTCGGGAAAGTAACATGAGGTCTGTAGTTAATTTCTGAACTGATCTGGTCTTTCCTGAAGTCTGGGGGTAAAAAAAAAACTATTTAAAAATAAGCAGAAATACAGTTCAATTCCTTCTAATTGCTCAGAGGTTGCAGAAACAAAACACGACACAACAGGACAAGTGATTCCTTTCAAGCTTTGACATTGACCAAAATAACCACTTCAAGGACAATCTGTCACAGAAGGTCAGATCTTATATATTCATCAAAAATCATCTGGACAAGATTTTCTTTTTTAATGTTACCAGAAAATAGGTAATTTTGAAGTCAATTTTGAACCGTTTTGAAGTCCTACATGTTTTCAAAATCATCTTAACATTTCATCTAACTAAAAGCACATTTTCTAAAACAAGTTTATTTGAACATCCAAAGTAAATTGCAAAATAAAAACTATTTATGTAATCATAATTAAATGGAACAAATACTGTAGGGATTCAGGGGTAGGGTTTTGTTGTTTGTGCATTCTTTGAAACAGATATTAAAACTTAGAGCAGACTCCATGATTCATAGAGATGCTGAACAGACAGAGAGGGCTCTCAGTCACATGCCCTAAACACACAACACAAGAGGTGCCTGCAGCAGCACTAGGACACTCACCCTCTAGATCCTTTTATTCCAAGGCAAAGCAAAGATCATTATCTAAAAACACAGAGTTTCTGAAACAAGGAAGCTCCCAGTTAACAGCAAATAAAGGGAACACTGAAGTATCCATGTCGACACCACTGTCTTGGCAAGTGATGAGTAACAGCCAGTTTGTTTAGGGACAGATATTAGAAGTCTTTCTAATTCAGTAATTTGTTCATTATAATTGGTCATCTGCTCTGAAGCCATTCAAAGAATGTCTTGCTTTCTATATGTATAGACTAGATTCATGTAACTACTACACCTCTTCCAGAAAAACATTGAAATGCCTTGTCAGGAATTAAACTCAAATAAGGCAGCAAGCATTGCTTGATTGCTAATAGAACCACCTTGTGTTCAGTAGACAGTACTTAGACAATTTCTAGTGGGATAACGTGGCCTGTTCCACACTTTCATCAACAAAAGCTAAAAAAAAAAACCATTGTATGTTCTTAAACAATAATCTTGCCAAGACTTTTTTTTAATCACTTATTTCCTCAAGTTTAAATAGTCTTTGAACTTTTGCCTTGTGAACATGAGTCAAAAAAAAAAACAAACATAACGACAGAACTGAAATAAAAACTTTTGAGTGATGCTGCTGAGTGATACTTGTTTGAGCTCTAATATCTGCCCTGTCTTGAGTTGATGAAAGATTAAAAAGACACTAAACCTTTGACAAAGAACACAGATTGTAGAGGCTAAAACAGCACATAAAGAGACAAAGCTCCCATACGGCTTTCCTTCAGGCCTCAAAATGAAAAAAAAAAAAAGAAATATAATTTAAAAATCTTGCTCTTCCAGCATTATAAACAATATCACAACCTTAGAAAGAATCAGTTAAATGATCTGCTAGGTTAACAGTGTCTGAAGCTAGTGTTTGTAACTTTCAGAATTTGAATATGTTGACCTCTCTACAAGAGCACATATATGGAAAAAAGGAAAATAAATCCCTCATCCAGGTGCTCATTGCTTCCCCAAAGTGTCTTATGTGAAGATTACAGATTGGTTGGTGTTCTGTGGTTGGTTTGGTTTTTGTTTGTTTGTTTTCACTCCAAGCCAAACTCCTCTGGAATTGTGTCTGCTTAGCCCTCGAAAAGCAGTACCACAGACGAGCCCGGAGGTGGCAGCAAAGGCTGGGAGGCTGGTTTTCCTGTGCGAGCCAGAGCTGCTCAGTGATACCAGGTACTTGGTGACTTCAGAATTCCAGCTAACTTAAAATAGATGTGTTATTTTCTCTTCTGCTGACAGAATATCCATGCACACTTAAAACCAGACACAGACTCAACTGAGAATTTTGGCTCTATGCTCTTTGCAGACCTAACTGTGGGAGACTCAAGTGCTGTGCTCAGCTGGAGACTGATGTCTTAATCAATGGGTCATAAGAACACTCGCAAAAATCTGCACAGCTCAGTTTCTGGGAAAACAAACAAAACCCAAAACACCACATTAAGATTCATTTTCCTTCTAATGTGTTTTAGATGCATGTTTCCTGTGCTTTTGACTACCTGGTTTTTATAATTTTTGAAGCTGCCAATAAAACCCAAGGTACAATATTTCTTATAACAAGTACTGTGGCAAATTCCTCCCTCTGCACCCAGACATGTTTCTGTATTCATCTGAAATTACAAACTTACTGAAAGTTTTGGAAGTGTGAAACACCACCACAGACCCAGTCAAGAAAGTAAACACATAACTTGTCCAAAATAGATATGATTTGTTAAAAACAGTGACCATCTTTACAAAACAAAAAAATTTCCTATATTAAAGAAACTGTTCTTTTGGAGCAACATTCAGTTGCAAAAAATTTCTTACATATGCATTAGTGCATTTTTTTCCATGTGGCTTTAAACACCTACTTAAGTTCTACTGTTGATTTTTTTTTTGATGGTGGGGTGGTGCCAACTTCCATGTGTGTGAGAATTCAAGTAAGTTCTGAAGTGAAGCAAGAGACAACAAGGAATACCAACTATTGCCCTCCCTTTGGTCTTATCTGCCCATCTCAAGAAGTATATCAAGTCTTTGTTTCAAAACCAGTTCTGAATCTTTGCATCATCTGTTTTAAATTGCAAACTTCTCACTTTATTACAAATTAGTGAATTACAAATGTGAGAGTGCTTTACATTTACATTCATGGGCTGTTTGACAATGTTTGGAAGTCTTGAAATTGTAGGGTTTGAATTTTTTTTTTTTAAACTAAAATCTTTAATCTAGCATTGAAAGACAGTCCAGAAAAGTCTTTGCTTGTTTCATGTTAAGTAAATTAAGAAGCTGCATGCTTTAATTCTCCGCTTAGTTCTTCAAACACAAGTCACATAGGCTGTCTGCACCAGAAGGGCAGCAACTCAATTTTTCATAAGTATAGTTGCATGTTTTAAATTATCACTATAAATTATAGTTTTCCTCAGAAGAAGAGATTTCTTTTTCAGAATTATGATTTCTTGGGGTTTTATGAAGTGACAAATAAACAATGGCAATTCTTCTCAACACGGAGTTTCATAATTATTCTATATTTCAGCTGGAGTAGTCTCATACTATTGAGCTGAATAATTATTAATGGGAAAAACCTCTGGACTTGTAATTTTACGAACATTGCTCTGCATTTATTTTCAAAGGGAAAAAAAACTATTAATTTAAGGCACTGATTCCAAGTACATATTTTTTTGAGATCACTGAACAGGCAGCTTTTAATATTGCACCTTAAATAGGAGGCCATCAAGAACTTGACCAATTTTCCATCACAGTGTTTGTTCTGCTGCCAGATGCTCCTCCTCTGGAGGAGGTGGGAGAGAAATAATCTACAAAACAGTGTCTAGCATTTGATTTTACTTTTTTTTTTTCTTTTAAGTTTTCTTAATCCTCACAACAGTGATGCTTTTCATGGAATTCTCAGGAGTGGCAATTCCCTGGAGAGAACTTTGCCTTAGGAATCAGGGAGGGTTGTCATAAAAGCAACTAAAATCCCTTTATGACTGAAAATGACCATCAGTAGCTTGTGCACGGACTGCTCTGAAAATCCATTTTAAAAATTCTATTGTCCTTTCCAGCTTCCAAGAATTACAGTCATCTCTCTTCAATTTGAAGAATGTGAGCTTGGCAATTTTGCCCTGGCACTGTTCATGTCACATGTTCTTTATAAACAAGAAAATTAGCCTCCACAGTTCACGGAGTTCAAACTTCATAAACACCAATTAATTAATATAAATTAAGGATACTCTATCTGCTTTCTTAATAGCCACGTTTTCCTGCCAAAATCTGATCGCACAAGTTAGGGACTGGCCTTGTGGGACATGTGCTTCAGCACTACAAGTTATCTGCTGCTGACTACCAGCGACAGAAGCAGCCATTTGATGTGCATAACCACTGTGCGATCCAACGTTACTATCTTTGAAATGCTCTAACAGTAAGTTTGTTTTTGTAAGTCAGGGACAGAATTCCTCAACTGCTGAACAGTAGCCTTATTCAGTTCCAGTTAAAATGAGGAACTGGTAAAGCAGTTACACAAATGGTGGGCAGAATTAGAAGTCTAACATTGTTTCCATAAGAAGTTTTCCACACAGACAAAAAATCACCCAGATGTGTTTTTTTAAGCTGCCATGAGAGACTAACCAAGACTTCTTACATTTCATTCCTTTCTCAGAAGGGACTAGACATTTCTGTATTAAAATAGTATTTTCTAGGAGTCTGTGTGGTATTTACCTACCAATTAATATCTTGACCATCATATTCAGCAATATAACATAAAGTAATACAACAGATGCCTGCAAATAACTATTGTCCTTGCTAAACGTTTCCTTACACACTTTTACAGACAGTCAAAAATAAAGTCTACAGAAATCTTTAGCCACATATACATGTGAAATGATCAAATTCTTCAGATATCTTTTCAGTCCATTAATCACTTTCACTAAAAGTATTATTTTCCAAAACCTGCATCCATCTGAGAACTTCACATTCGATTTACAGTACATACATTTTTATTACGAAAATATTCAAAAGCTATTTCCTAAATTAGAATAATGGAACAGACCAAACCTTATCAATGTTCTATGATAACTCTAAGGACACCTGGAATCACTAGACTTTCTTTAAAGCAAATGTACGACGCTTGTTGAAAGCTTTAAGTATACTTAAATAAATACAGGACATGGTTCTCTCCAGAAAATATTCATTGCCGAACTCAAAACACTGTTTTGAGCCCACCTATCTTTCATCCTCACAGAGTCCTTTAAGTATTTTGCACTGGTGGGTTTCTCATTTTGCTCAGTGTGTTTTTTTTTTTTTCCCCACTGATACAATAAATATACTATAGTACAGAACTAAAGCAGAATAAATGTCACACAAGAATAGATCTTCGTATTCCATACAACATCAATTCTGTGTTCTGCCTGTTCTTTTGATTGTTTGGGGTTTTTTTTCCCCGCAAGAGAAACAAACACCAAATCAGTTCTCTTTCTACAACCAAAAATAAACTGGAATAATGACAGAAAAGATAGAGGTGGTATACACCCCTCTCCCTATCTAAGTCTTAGAAGAAACTATACTATACATTATTTGAAAAGAAATTTGATATCTATAAAAATCAAACATTTCCTGGGGAAGTGGCCTAATATTTATTGCACCTCTGTACAAGCACCATTCCATTGTTCCAGCAACATTAGATAATGATTTTGGCTGACTTCATGCTGACCCTGTAATCTTTATATGCAAAGGCATTTATCAAGTTTCTAAAAACCCAAAAGACATATTAGTATGTAAAAGGAAGTAGGTTTCCTTATTACAAATGTTTCTTCCTGATATTACTTCATATCTTGAAGGAAAACAATGTAACACAATCCACCCACATGTTTTTGAAAAAAATCTTCCTTGGTATCCAAGAAAGTTCATGGAAATGCCTTTGGGGAAAACAGAAGGAGTGTGAAATTACCCCGGGGGTGGTTTGGGTTTTTTGTTTGTTTGGTTGATTTGGTTTTGGGTGGGGTGGGTGGTGGTGTTGGAGTGGGGGGAGGGACAGGGAGGAACACATTAAAAGAAACCAACACCCCAACAAACTATTAAACACAGAACTATGTTCTCAGAGCAGAACATAAGCAACAGAAATGGAGATTTACATTTAACCATTTCCACTGGATTAAAAAGAAAGCAGTGATTAAGGCCAGTGCAAATTAATTCTACTGGATGTTTTGTTCCAGCATAGTTATCTGAAAAATCGCAGAATCATTGAATGACAGAACAGTTTGTGTTGGAAGGGACCTTAAAGATCATCTCGTTCCAGCCCCCTGCCACAGAGACACCTTCCACTATATCAGGATGCTCAAAGGCCATCCTACCTGGCCTTCAACACTTCCAGGGATGGAGCATCCACACCTTCTCCACACAGACCATTCCTGTGCCTCACCATCCTCATGGTAAAAAAAAAAAAATAATTCTTTTCTTATGTTCAATCTTTACCTGTCCTCTCTTCAGTTTAAAACCACTGTCCCTTGTCATGTCACTACAGGCCTTGGTAAAATCACTAATACTGGTGAACAACTGTGGTTTTGATTCTTGTACAGAGAACCTACACCAGCCAGCAGCAATTCTGCACTGGCCATTTCCCAAGGAGGCCGTGGTGTTTGACATGCACAAGGAAGGACAAACTGTTCTATCAGCCTATAAAAAAAAAACTACTTTATAACAAAGCACACCAAGAGAGGAAGACTGGCAAGAAGCAGCCCTGTATCCTGATTAGATAATGATTTACAAAGCAGCTGTAGCCTCCCCAAACACTACTTAAATTCTTCACACCAAAATAAAAAAAAACTACTTTATAACAAAGCACCCCAAGAGAGGAAGACTGGCAAGAAGCAGCCCTGTATCCTGATTAGATAATGATTTACAAAGCAGCTGTAGCCTCCCCAAACACTACTTAAATTCTTCACACCAAAATAAAAAAAAAAAAAAAAAAAAAAAAAAAAATCACCTAGACTATTACTTTGGTGCTAGAGGTCAAGTGAAAAACCAGTTTGGGAGAAATGCCATGCTTTGATATGACTGAGCAGAGCTGAGCACTGCCACTGCTGTTTGAAAAGCAGATACTAAGACGAGTCAGCAAGAGAGCTCTCTACTGAAGAGAGTATATATAAAAAAACCACCCCTAACATCATCATCAAAATAGCCACAAATTCCATGTCAATTTTCATCTAATCAACCTAAATACAGCCAACCTGATACACAAATAGTCTAACTTTGAAATATTTGGTTATGGCTTGTTAAAAAAAAAAAAAATAAATTGTACATATATTTTTCAATTTTATAAAACCTCATGACATTAACTTCTGTAGCAAAATTATAAAATACAAAAAGGCTATTCAGAAATCTGTCCATCTCTTGTGTGGTATTAGTAAGTTAATATTAAAATTTTGGTACATCTAGATTATTATTAGGAAACTTCCTATCCTTTATAAAAGTTAAAAACTCTTACCATAGATGTTTCTGTTCTGCTGGGATACTGAGTGTAACACACTGTCAGCTTTTTTGGATGACAAGTTCTGTTCACTGTAAAAGAAACATAAATGTAATCTGAAAGGTTAAACTATTGATATATGATCATAGACTTTATTGCCTTGAACAAATACAAACAAAAACTTTGCTTATGTGAAACTGACTCTTGTTATCATCAGTCACCTTTTTTACTGACACACTTTATGGAAGACAGGCAAGACAGCAGGGGCAGCCCTGTAATACTTTTACATCATATGTGGTTTCTAATTTATCATGTCTGAAGCAAACAGAATTTTCAGTGTTAATACCTTACACCTTGAGTATTTCAGTGCTAAACAAACATGCAGCACCATCTGACTATGACAAGCTTAAGTTTTCTAAAAATGCAAAAATTTCATCAGTATCAAGATCTTAAGGTACATGTCATGTGTTAGCCAACATTCTATCATGTCCCTTTTCCCAGTTTGACAATTTGCTATTAATACTTTATTGTGACAACAAACATTCTTTTCAGCTGTGATTGTCCCTTGGTCTTTCATTCACAGAAATAAATGTTCCTTTAGAAACTTTTCCTCAAACTGGAAGATTGAGCAAACCCAGCACCAAACCCAAGAGGAGAAAAGCAGTAAAAATAAACCAATAATCACCTGCAGATTTAGTAAATCTTATTGGTGTGGTTGAGCAAAAAGCATGCCTTACCACTCAAGAGAGAGGGCTGACAAACACCCTGTCAGTCCCGTCCTTCTCCAAGAATAAGGTGGGCAAGGAGATAAGCAGTGGCAATTTCAGGTTTTTCAGTTAAAGAAAAAAAAGACTCTTGTTATTGAAAGGAGAGGAAAACAAGAAAAATACTGAAAGAAACAGGCTCTCTCTATTCTTCCTAACAGAAAAGAAAACTAAGCAATTTTTTTTCCCAGCTGCTAAAAGAACTTCCAAGCATTTAATTTGTATTTTGTTGCTTTTAGGAGACAATGTCTAAATGGTTAGAAGGGAACCAGTGAGTATTGCCAGTCAATTCTAATTACTAGTCACATAAAATCCTTCTGAAAGTGCTAAGAAGTCATTTGTAATTTGATATGGTACGTTTTTTTCTTTATTTGACAAATATTTAAACAACACCATAGTCAGATTCTTAATGAACTACATTGTTTTAAATTTATCATATTCCCTCATAAAAAGACACATGCAGTATTTGGGCATTCCATTACCTCCTTAGCATGTCTAAAAATGAGGCACAGAATGGTTATAACTCTAGAAATGACTGTTTGAGGCAACTGTAAATACTGAAAATACAAACACTGCTTGGAGTAGGCTTTATAATTCTCTATCATTAATCCAGTTAAAAGCCCATAAGCTTTCTGTACAGTGGGATTTTGTACAGTTTGTTGTGATGGGAAAGGAGAAAGAAGAGTGTTATAAAGGCATAGGATAAAAGTGTTTATTAAAAGGGAAGTGGACACCATAGGCAATCTTCAGTTCAGAAAGTCCACAAAACAGCCAAATACAACAGGCCAAAAGAATACACTCATAAAATGCCACTGTATCTGCTGCCACCTTTCATGAGGATCTGGAAATGGCTATTGGTATAGACTGAATGTATTTTAGACTAAATCTTTGGCCATATCCTGGCACGGCTATTTTTATGTCCTTATCTATACTTCAAAATGCAAAATAAAATTCCCTAGGAAACTAGGAACTAAGCAAATGATTGACTTTACTTTCTTGCAGTTCCAAAATCATAAAGACATTTAAATTAATACAGAAGCTGTATTTTGCACATTTTAAATAAAAGCATTTGGTTTGATAACTTGCTACAAAACTTCGTAGTTTTAAAATTTTGCATGTCTGCTTAAAGAAGTAGGAGACTTTTCATTTCCTGACATTTGCTATTCTCCTCATCTGTAAAATAACTTCTCACTAAAATAATGTCCAAATATTTGCTCAAATCTAGCAATCATTTGTGGCTAGGCTTCTTCTCACAACTGTGCTTTTCCATGTTACAATTATAAACAAGATTTGAGAGTAGAATATATGGGTTCTAGTAGGAACTACCTGCCACGTGTAATTTAAAACACAGTACAGAAAACTGCACGTGTAATCTTGGAAACTTCCTATTTCACGGCTCCATGAAGTTGAAAGAAACCCTTTCAGATGATCTAGTCCAAGTCCTTTGTTCAAGCAAGGTCAACTACAGTGGGCTGCCCAGGACCATGTCCAGTTGGGTTACAGGTATCTCCACAGACCTCAGAGACTCCACGTCTCTGGGCAACATACCTGTTACAATTCTTAGAGTTTAATAACATTTATATAGACACTTGTATTCCATAACAGATGGCAGGTTACCCAGCCTACAAAACTTGTAACTGAAGAAGTAGAGCAATTATTTCAAATTAACACACCCTGCCCCTCAGCAGGGCTTACCAGTTCTGGCTCAGCACCATAATAACCTGGCTCAGTGCAGTCCAAACAGAACTACTGCTGCAGCCTCAGAGTGAAGGTAAACTTAACTCTTTATGTCTAGATACATTGCTAGCTTTCTACATACCTGACCTCAAGCACAAAAAGTTTCAAAGCATGTTTTCTTGATTTTTTTTTTAAGACCACATGAACAAAAAAAAAATTTCTGTAAAGACAATTTATGAGAGTTCTAAGAGCATCAGCATTACCTGCAAGAAGCACTTTCTTTAACATTCTTGACATCTGCTGAATTGGTTCCTTCAATAACAGGTGAGTCTGGATTTGCTGATCCATTGCTGATATGATCACTGCTTTCATATCCAGATTCAGTCCTCTGTATCTGCCAGTTATCACCATGGATTTTTCTCTCTGCAAACCCTTTGCTTTTTTCAACATTCCCTTTTCCCTCTGAATCCAGTGAACTTCGACTTCCTGTATCCTGTTTCGTTTCATCTTCATATATAGTCATTAAACCTTTCTGGATTTGGTTCTCTTTTGGCCAATGGCTAAAGCTTCGCTCCTTTTCATGCTTAGATTTACTGTTTGGATTTGCCTTGTGCTTTGGGCTATGCTCTTTTTTCTCATTCTCACTAAAAATGCTGTCTACATTTAGTGTTTCTCGCATAGGTTTCCAACCTTTACTTCTGCTTCTGCTGCTGATACTTCCTTTGTCCCTAGAGTCTTGACTGGTGTCTGTATCGTAGCCAGTGACACCATCAGTCCGGGTCCTGATCACTGGTTTCTCCCCAGAAGGAAAAGCTTCTGTTCTGTTTGGTCCAAGCACTGGTACAGAGAGCTTTGCTTGGTGAGCTGCATTGTCATGTTTATAGGGGCCTTTTCCCTGGCTGCTGTATATTCTCTGGTCAGCACAATGTCTAAATCCATTTCCAACTGGAGGAGATCCCGATTTCACATTGGGACGATCTTCTCCAGTCAAATCTTGTAAGAAGATAAAAGAAAAAACTCCGTTAAAGTTCTCATTGATATTTCACCGATATTGTTACAGCACTTACATTTCTTAACACTGTATCAAAAAAATCAGTACCTATTTCAGAATGCTGAAAACTTGGAACTCTAATCTTACATTAAATTCCCTTAGGAGGGAAAAAAACCTGCAGAGGCAGTACCAATGCTAAAAGCTATTTAACACATTAACACTGATTCTCTGGTCATATTTTTGCACGTACCTCTTTGTCTTCCAGACTCTTTTATTGGTCCTCTGTCTGCCTCTTTCCGTAAAGATGAGAAGCTTCTCATATCAGCAGCTTTCTGGGCGCACTCTCTGGATATGTCCTTCAGCCTGTCCTTTTGATCGCTGGAACCCAATTTAGCTGCAAAAAAGGCTTTTTGTCAAAGATCATTACTGAAAAATCATTCATCACCAAAACACACAAATATGTTTATGGACAACAACATTTAGTTTTTAATATTAATACTACTTTAAAAGATTAATGAACTACATAACACAGATTAAGAAAATGAGATGTATTGTATAGATATAAATGTATATGCATCTCCAAGGAGTCCACTAAGTGGAACTAATGAAAGTAATCAAAGCAGCATTGCATCAAGCATGTCTTAGAAGCATCTCTTATTAAAATTAAATATTAAATGATTTTATAGGATGACATGTTTGGGTTTTTTTGGGGGGTGGGGAATACATACCTGGACCTTTGCCACCACTGGCTTGAATATGGCTTCTGCTGAATGCCAAATTATCTGGCTGAAGTTTTTTATTACTCCTTTGATTAGTGGGATCTCCAATTCTATTCTCTTTCATGTGGTCTGATTTAGCAGCAGAATGCCTTTCAAATCCTATCAAATAACATATCTATCTTTAGAAATTAAATGCTTCCTAATTTAGAATTTCCCATATCTCAATTAAAAAATAAAAAAACTTTAATTGCAGATAAAAAAAAAAAAAAAAACACAAAATAAAAACCTCACAAGAAAACACATCATTATTATAATTTATCATTATGTGGGTAGAAACAAAAACTGTGTATTCTATACCCTCTATGTCATTGCTCATGGGCTAAGAAATCATTGGTAGCAGCTGCCCAGGACAGATCTCACACCCCAGGCTACAACAGATAAGGAAAGAGGTCTGGGGAGATGTTAACACCTTCCCACCCAGCAGGAGGAGTCCTCCCTGTTAATGAGCCCATCCATGCCTTGCCCCCCAGGAGCTATTTCTGTTTAATGGACCATCAAGGACCCACTGCATGACTCACAGAATGACATCAGCCCATTGTGAGATGCTCTGCCCAGGGGGAGGAGCCAAGTGCTCCCACCTAACTGGGGTTCAGGACAGCACAGAGGGCCCTTACCCACTGGATTTCCAGAGGACAAGAGCTACCAGATCTTTTCTGCGAGATCACTGCTTCATCTGGACTGCTACCATCACCCTAACTACAGTGTGTCAGATTGTATTCTGACTCTCTCTGTGGTTTTCCTTTGTAATTTCTTTTTTAAATTGTATTTCTGACTTGGAGTCTCCCACTGGTTTGCTTTCAAACCATTACAAATATGAAAGGCAATAATCTTCTGTATTGTTTTATGTACTGCCATATTCATAGTGTTAGACTGTAGTGGAATAGGGTCCTCAATTCTTTCTTCCCTGAAGCAGTCTATGTCCTATTGCTGCTACTCATGTGAATTAAGTAAAAGGCCAATACAATTTGTCATGTTCCTCTTCACTTTTATGATGTTTAACATTAAAAATAAACTAGACAGCAAACTACAGAACCAAAAGGACTGGATTCTTAAATATTGAGGCCTATGCTATATACATAACTCAAAATAGTTTCCTGCAGCTCCTCCTGATTTTTCCCAGTCTGAATTGTGCTCTCTGTGTGTGCATATATACAAACACACATGCTCCAAGTATATCTCCATATTTGTATGAAGCTTTAAAGTATCTTTTTATAACATATTTAAAGGTATTTTAAATGCATCAGTACACATGTAAGAACATCTGGATATACAAATATACTGCGATTTTCTTCTGAAATGATTATGTGCAGTCACAATCTACAATAGAAAAATTTTTCCTCAGTTACCTGTGAATCTCAATTTGTATTCCCTTAGCAGACACAAAACAGTTCTCATATTGAATATATACATCAATTTCTTTTGAGACCCTTTAGATAATTACTGAGAAGAGTATTCAAGAACAAAGCAGCTAATGCATTACCTTCTCCTCTACAACCCCCATTTCAGAAATACAGTCGATACTGTTATTAAAAAAAGAATCAAACACATCTTAATTACCCAAGTCTTCCCCATTTCCTCCTGCTGCTTTGCACTGAGACCAGTGAATAATCTGCTTTGGAGCATCTTCTGGAGATACAGCCGTGCCATCTGGGTTAGCATAAAATAACAACAATGGCTGAAAGTGACAGCGAATGCACCTGGAGACCACATCTTTCCATTTTGTTCCAATCTAAGAAGAAAACAAAAGAAACACCAAACAAATCTCCAAAACTTTATTCTTTGCATAATCAGGTTAAATGCTGTTGATAACTTATTAAGCAACAGGTATCACATGCCCAGCTTCAAAAGAGACATTAAGATTTGACATTTTGGCACACGAATTTATGCAAATTGTCAAAAAGCTAGAGCCAATATTACATGGGCTAACAGCATGAACATCAATGCTATGAATATAGCTGTCAGCACTTGGGTTGTCTTTTTCATTAAAAGTATTAAAAAATCTGAAACATTTGGCATCTGGAAGGCAGGACTGCCAAAAAGTAGCAAAGCCAACTCTAAAATCAATTTGTGAAAACTGATTTGAAAACCTAAAGGTGTATTAAAAAAACAAATTTGTTTTACATGTTTTAAGTTTAGTGTCAGAGGAATGCATTCTAGAAAAGTAAATATCACTAAATTTGGTAGCAATAAAACCAGTATTTACCTCTTTTACATTAGCATCATCAAACAGCACCCATTTGCAACTCTTGGTGTGAAAGGCAAAGGCACAATAATGTCGGCTTGTGTAGCAAATCATTCCCACAAGAAACAGTTCACTGTTTTTGGCATTTTCATCTGTTACCCTATAAAACAGCTGTACAAATGGTTATATATTTTCAAATGTGTAAAACATTTTGCCTCAATTTCCAGAACTACTACTGGTATTTCACCAAGTCAATTGGTATTAAATATCCTGTTGCATGATACATTTTTTTGTGAGTATAAATAAAAATGTTTGCACTTGTTAGGTCTATTTTAACTTTTATTTTTGCATAGTCTAAAGAGTAAAACAATAATGCCTTGGAATAATTTCACAGATTTAAAATTGAACAGGATATTCCCACATTTCCCACTAGGAATCCACCCACATTCATCTTTTTACTTAGGCACAAACCCAACACTTCCGACGAGACTTTTTCCTCTCAGAAGTAAATCAAGCAGCATGTTATAAAGAGCAGTGAAAGCAGACCATTTTTGACATTAAACTCTGCTTTTTTAAAAATGAAATTTTAGAACAAGCAAATAGTAAGTTTTAAGTCAGATACCCCAGGAAGATAGAGCTGTGTTGCCAGATTCCGCATAACTTCTTCTGTCAGGTCAGAGTGTTCCGAATCCCAGACTAAACCGATTGTGACAATCTCAGGACAATTCATAAGAACACGACGAATTTTTATTTTTTGACCACAGTTACTCTAGAAAAAGGTAGGAAAAAAGTGATGGGAGTGAAAACAAAGATGTTTATAAAACGCAAGTCCAAAGTTGAGCTACTAGACAGGAAACAGTGCAACAAAACAACTCCGCAACTTCTTCTAATTCTCACATTTAATTATAGTGTTTCTAACAATTTAAGGATAAAATTAATTATAAAAAACACTTCGATGAAGACTACAGCTAAGCTTCTACATCCAATCATCAACTTAAAACAGAAAACTCTGAGAACATCCAAGTCACCATCACAATTGCTCTTTTTTGCTCCCCCTCCATTTCATGGAGGTCTGTACATTCTTGCATATTTTTCTATGGTTCCTAAATTTACAGTATATACAGAGAACCATTTAAGGAAGAGAGGAACCAAGTAGGACAAGCTAGAGAAGACTATTTTTGTCAATAGAAGCAGAAAATTATCTGAAGAGAAGACAACATTGCCAAGCACTTAGAAAATAAACCTGCTCCACATAATCAAAACCACCTATGCTTTGTTGGACATGAAATGAAGAACAAAACATGGACCTAATAACTAAACTTTCTAAACAGGCCATTTGCACTTACAATACCATATTTATCTATAACTGGAGCAATAAAAATACAAATTTAAGGACATCTTTACCCTAAGCTGGACTGCACTGAAGTGGCCATGTGTGCTCCTGCTTTTAAGGGAACATTTTAGGCTTATTTAGCAATCTAAAAAGTTCTCCCTTGTACATTAACATAATGCAACATGTTTGTTTACTTACAGGACACTTTCTGTAGTCATCAGCAGTATTTGCTGCTTGTAGTAGTTCTGCAAACATTTCCGGCTTGAGACGTTCATGCCTCTCCATCATTCTTTCTACTTCATTACTGTAAAAAAATAAATGGAAATAACTGTGGATCTCCCTTCTGAAGAGATAACAGATTTCAGTCAACTCTATTAACTATATCTTATGACTAAAAAGGAAAGATGCAGAGGTAAAACAGTAGCAACACATGCTTCTCATCAGGCTGTCTCTATATCTTGCTTTTGAAAGCCAAATGTTACTTTTGGATCACATCTCAAAAATATGTTTTAACAAAGGTCTACACATTTCCTTTTACCTCTTAGAGCGTTTCTCAAGCATGCTTTGCTTATTAGTGGGAAGGTGTATGTAGAAAAATGAGATAGAAGAATAAAAGCTCTTACCACAGGGCTGTGGTAGAAATATAACGCACGAATTCTGTAAAAGGCAACGGGTCCGACGATGCTCCACAGCTGCGACATACACACTACAACAATAAAAATGCTTTCATTTTTATTTATTCAGGACAGTGGAAACAAAGTATTTGTTAAAGCAATCAAATAAAGGTCTGACCTGTTCATACAGTGTCATAGCAAACTTCTGATGAGAAATACAGGATTTTGAAGTGCACATGTCTGTTTCACTGTTTGGCACCAAGTGAAAGTGAATCCTCTCAAGGATATTTTCCTAAATAGAAATAATAATGTAGATATGAACTAAGCTGATGAAGTCAGAATATATCAGCAACATTAGTTTAATGCTGCAATTACTCTCCTTGGCTTAAGTTTAACTTGTACTTAATTACATCCCTATTCACAACCCAGTGGATGGGAATTCTCTTCATCTCAAGGTTTCCAAACATCAATAAAACAGCGTTACACAACAGTTGCCCGACTGTTCTTCCAGAGTATACTCTCCTTTGAAGGCAGTGAGTCTTCAAGAAAAACTTTAAAAGCTTTTCTTACAGTAAGACTTGATATTGTCATTGCATGCAATAATTGAAATTTGTTTTGGATCAGGCCTCTGTCTCCTTTCTTCAGATCTTTGTGTTTTATTTTGCATATCAATATGATCATCTGATTACCTTTAGCACATGTGCCAACACAAAAAGTATTGCTGACAGAAGCAAGGAAAAAAACTCTTAAATAGCACATGCCTGTTCCCACCCCAAGTCTCACTTCTTATCCTTAAAAGAAAGGAAAAGAGAAAAGGAAAAGGTATGATGACTGCGATTGGTCTGGCCCCTGAATTGGCATGGCCAGTTTTATCTCTTTTGCCAAAAATACCAGATGTAATGGGAAGAAGTGAATCTATTCAAGTAGATCATTCAGACAGCTGATTACCTCAGGGCACCAAATGCATTTTTTAGATTAAGTGCTAATGAAAGATTCTCTTTCATTGCTGCAATCCATTAACCTGACTGCAAGATCCCAAACACCCCCTTTCAGGAGTTCTCCACTGGACTGCCCTAAGTATGTGAAAACGCATCTGGCAGGTAGGTATTCATCTGGGGATACTTCCAAAGGATGTCCAAAGCTGAAAGTGATCAAAGTAGCAACCATATTTTCTGTCCCTCAAAACCATGTCTGAAGGTTAATACTGATTTTTTTTTCCAGTGAACAATTTTCATTGTCTAATGCAGGACTTCTTAGAAAGGCTTCTTTACCAGTGTTCTTTGTGATCTTGAGCAATCTTTAATCTCTCATGGCCACAGCTATGAGTCATGTTTTTCAGTGAGACACTTCATGAGAGGAGTTATTGGCACCAAGTGTCAAGATCTTCTTTCAGTGTTCACTCTTGGATAAGAAAATGGAAATCTCTTCTGCAGAAGACTTCAGTAATGAGCTGGCTAGTTGTACCAGAACATATTTCAATAGCTGATGAAAGAATACTTGGAGGAACAGACTACATTCATATCCACCAGTGCCTCCTCTCCTGAGCAGATAACCTTTCCCTCCAACCAAAATAATTTAGGAGTGACTGAGAGTTCATCATCCAAATCAACCTCCTGTCGTAATGTTTCACACATCCCTCTGCCTGAGCTACAGAGTTAGGGAAGAAAGTACAAAGCAAATGCAAGATTACTCCATCCAACATTATCAGACACTCCCTCTATGTGTCTGTTCCTCTAAACTGGCATAAAGGTCAGTAGTATTATGTCACTTGTATCCCACTTGTGAGCCACCAAAACAACAGGCCAGCCTGACATCCACAGAAGGTAATCCTAGGCAACTCTCACACAGAATACTTACAAAGCATTCCGCTGCGTCGTCCATGAACCCAAGCTGAAAACGCTGCTCATCCTTAAAGCTTTCTGCCAGGGCATGTCTCATATTATCCGATGGGAGTGCTTTTTCTCGACTGTGTTGGAATTGTGAAAATATTGCCTAGGAAGAAATAGTAGTACTTAGCTTCATTAGCTACTTGGCTAGACATTGGCTCTACACAAATACATCAATTCTTATGCAGCATGCCTAAACAGCAAATAGGTGAAATGTTTCTAAATATATCTAACTTCAGAAATTACTGTTTTATCCTAGTTACTCAGGTTCAGTGTTTTGGGACTCATTCAATTTTAAGAAGTTATGCTACCAAACAGAACACTGATCCAGTAAAAAAACAACACAGAACTATACAAAAATGACAGTGATAGATTTCAGCTCCTAGATACAGCCCAAGCCCTGGTTTGTAATTATGCAACTGGGCTTTAATTTGGCCACTGGAATAGCGGTTCATGCATATGTATCTCTTCTTTACAGATAGTGTGTATTTCTTTAGTTTAACACATATCATTCACTAAATAATGAAACACTACTTCAGACAGGACTGTATCTTTATTCAAATTATGAATATGCAAAAAACTTTCATAGATTAGATAGAATGCTGATAGTCCTTGCTATTAAATCAGTGCTCTGCTGAACCAGTGTACACAAGAGAACAGATCAATATCTGCAGTTCCAGAAAGTGAGAATAAATTGCATTTGATTTTTTTATTCATTTCCCAGAAAAGGCAGTTGGTTAGTACTCTTTTTTTTTTTTGCAGAGATATGTATGCAGGTGAATTTCCAGGGAACCAAAAGTTAGAAGCTATTAAACAAATGAGGAAACATTTGCAGATATTAAAGGGTGTATTCCACTGTCAAGAATTCCAAGTCAAACTTGAAAGAAAAACAGAACACCCACAAAGCAGATCAGGAGAAGCCATGTAAAACATAAATAGGGATGTGCATTCTTCACTCAGGCCTCCTGCAGTTAAGAAAAAATGTGTTGGGCAGAAGGCAAAGGTACAAGAGATAAGCAAAGTTTCAGTGCTTATAGAAAATAGTGTTTTAACCATGGTACATTCCAGGGTATGTGTCTGTCAAATATTTAAACTTCTCTTTCATAACAAAAGGCATGGACAACTGACAAAAGATACAGTCAGTATCTCAATGTAAAACATTCAAAATTAAGCTTTTAACAAACCTGGTAATCAAAGTCAGCTCAGATTTGAAAGCATTTAACACTGCTAGGTCATTTTTGGTATGCAACAGAGCCTTACAGATGCAGCTTAAAAAAAAAGTACAAATAAGTAGTTATGCAGATATTTATCCTCATTTTAGTGGCCTGCATAGTCAAAATCCCACCCCAATATTATCCAGAGAAGAAAAGAGCATATTTAACTCTCGGAACACCATCAAAAGAAAGATAATGGAACTGAATTAAACCAGACTTTATCTGCCATGCTTTTAGTCTATAGCAAAGGCTGATGATAAAATATCCTCCTTTATCACTGAACAAGTAAAAAGGGTTAAAATAGCCCAAACACACCAAAAAAACCCAACCAAATAAAATCCCTCGAGTCACAGACAAGTTATTGAAATGCATCCTCATCCAGCATATACTCTGCATAAAAACCAAAATGCCCCAGGTTCTGAACACAGAACAAACAGAATCGCTCAACCAGTATCTCTAAAAAGCCAAGAAAGCAAAACCAGTAGTATACATAATAACTGAGGACAGATACTTCCAAATGAGTTAACCACAATGTTTTGAGGGCAGTACCTTGGCTATCGGCCATGGAGTTAGAAATATCAAAACTCTACTGTTAAAACAGTAACTAATTCCACTGTAATGAATTTCAGACCAGGCAGCAATACCACTTCTTGTCAGCATTCTTGGAAGTGTACCAAAATAGAAAGAGAAGACGTTCCAGGCAAAGCAAAATATTCAGGTAGAGCAAGTTATTTAGATATATCACATCATGGCAGTAATCAATCCCTCAAGAACATGTATGTGAAAGAATAAAGAAAATTTCAAGTCCTAAATTATAGCAGCCTTACAAAGCAGCTTAGTGTAGGAGCCCCAAAAACTACAGGAAAAGAAACAGTAAGAAGGTAAAGCAAGCAGTCTGCCTAGCTTGAAAAAAGAAGTGCCTTGTCTTCACAAGTATACCAAAGAAGAGAACAATCCATTACTTAGAGATTCCATTGCAACACACTGTGAGCACTACCTTCTTCGCAATTCTAAGCACACGGAAGCTGCTTTGTTATTTTCTATTATGATTTCAGCAATATGACTAGTCTTATTTAAGAGTATGAAGTGTTACACATACATTCCAGCAACCGTCACCCTTCAATCCCTCTTCGTTTCTTAAAGGTGGTTCCAGTGCAACATACAATGAGACTGGGTATGACGAGAACTTCACATGTAATATAGGTCTAATCAAAAGCAAAAGGCCACAAAGCTTACTCTATATTGTGACATCAGAAATGAACATGAATCCAAATCCACACAAAATTCCAGGAAACTGAAGCTATCATCCCAAGACAGACAAGATTTTGTCTGAAAACACAGGTGTGCCTGAGTTATGGTCGGGACTTCATGTACGAACAAGATCAAGTGTCCAGCACACAGAAGAACATGACATACATCAAAACACTGCTGAAAAAAACAGTCCCAACAAGTTCTGTAGCATCAAAAGCTTGTAAAGTTTCGAAAGACTCACAGGATGTTATTCTGAAAATGTTTTGTCTCAAACTACTTCAACTTTTTGGCTTTTTAAAATGAAAATTTTTACCCAAAGAAATAAAACCTTTTAGAAAAAAAACTGTTTGGAAAAAGACAGACATATTCAAAAACAGTTGTACCATACTGCAATCCTGATAAACACTAAAAATGGCTGAAAAAGACTGACACAGTACACAGATTATATACCTCCTGAAAGATGAAGCAAATGCCACTGCAAACAATCCTTTCCCAAAATGCTTATGCAGTAACAAGGTCTAGTCTGTGAAACTAGTTTTACACACTGGTTAAGACCTATTTTCAAACACTAAAAAGTTACCAGCCTTCTTTAGTTTTCCAGTAACATTACCTGCCCTTAATTACTTACAAACTGAAAATTAAGCTCTGCATCATTACCATCAACAACTGAATAAAAAAATAATCTTGAGACCTTATCAGACAGTCATACAATCATTAGTAAAAGAACTGTATTCAAACACTACAGGGAAGAACAACAGTATATGCATGCAAACAGAACAAAAAAAAAAAATCACTCAATTTTCAAATCAGTCATACCTTCTTTTAAGAGATAAAAGTTTTATATTCAAGCAGACTGTAAAATTTGTGTACTGTAAAATTGCTTCCTTAAGCACAAAAAAATATTTCTGTCACAAACATCAGTTAAAAATGTCCTCATATCTAAATTGTTTCTTTACACAAGGAGTCACCCAAACACACCTATTATTGGGATATAAATTAGTAAAAGTGAGGTAAACTATTTTTTCCCTCATTTTGAAAGATAGTTCTCCCAAAAATTATTTACCTTTAAAGCACAAAATATGCATGCATCTCCCTGACACACGTGTCCAGTTAAGCCTCTTAAACTTCGCCGAAATATATCAAGTTGCCATAATACCTATAAAAATAAAGTTTCACAGAAAGTAATGAGTTCTAAAGGTTCTATGTTCAACGCAGCAACATACAGTAGATTTTCACTTTTTTTTGATGTCACATAATAAATACAGTTTCAGCACCAACGTTGCTACAAGAATTGTAGTCCCTTCCCATTAAACTGGTCATCTGCAGAGGTGCAAGGTTCACATTCACCACTCATAAAACTTAGATGTGCTTTTTAAAGTTTTTGAAACAATGGCAACCATTATTTTCTGTGGAAAAAGAGCTGAAGTACTCTTCAGGAAATGAGCAGCAAGCTAAACTGCATACAGAGATTGTAATTGTCCTCTAATGGCTTTACATAGGAGGCAGATAATGGGGTTTACTTCACTTCCCTTACTCTCCCTCTCCCCAGACTCCATGTTTTCTTCCAAATAAAATAAGATAGAAACATGGAAGCTGCATTGCTAGGTAAAATGCAAGCAGCATTTCAGGTTAAGTCTATACTACGTTCTTATGGTCTCTTACTAAAACGACTGCTGAAATAAATTTGTTTTTCCACAGATCAAAATAACTCTGGTGTTTAATCAGATATGCTTCTACCTTTTATTTGTCCAGCCACTCCATGTAAAGGTCATGTCACCTTGGCTGTACTACACTGTTTTCACTATCTAGTATCTTAAATACACAATCACTGCAGTAGTTCAGAAAGTTGCCCATTTAAAAACATAAATAAAGAAACCCAAAAATGAGTTCTCAAGAGGCACAGTAACATAACGGCTGCAAATCCAGGAAAAACAGAACCCTCTCTATAAATACAAAAGCTAGAAGTAATTAGGATGCTTTTGAAAATCAGTGTCCAAACATCAGTTCTGAAGGTTGAACAGAAGTTAAAAAGAGGAAAAAAGAAAGGAACACATTCCTCCTTGTAAAAGGGCAGTCACCAACCATCAGCCACCGTCTGATAAACAGCAGTGGGTTGTTAAGTAGTAGGATTGTCTGAAACTATAACTAAAAATTACTTAGGGTTTAATTTTAAGGCAGCCTAAGGGAAAACAGCAAAAACTGTGAAAGAATATAGGTCATGCTGTTCCCATTGAATGTAAACCACCAAACTCATTCTGCTAAATCTATTGTACATTTTTAATTTGAACATATTTAGATACCATACAGACCACACAGACATCTCTCATATCTCCTATGCATAAATTCATATAATTTTTACAACTCGCAGGTTTGGGTTGGGGTTTTTGGGTTGGTTTTGGTTTTGAAGTCCACACATCTCTTAAGCCCTCTGCTAGTTTGTCAAATAGCTCTGTACAATTTGAAGACAATCAAGCCCAAAATCTAAGCATTACAAAAAAATATATTATTGTTTGGCTCTTTATTTGCACAGCCTAAAAATTATTGCTAATTTCTAGATTTAAAAAGACTATAGAATAAACTAAACTGTGTGTGGTATTCTGACTTGCACAAAATGTGAAAGGCTAGCACTGCTCTGTCACAGAAATAAATAGATCCCCATATTCCCTCTCATAAATAGAATTGTGAAGTTGAATGTTTTATCATGCTAATGTCAGTGTACTATTAAACTAAACTTGAGAGATCTAAAGAGCCAACATTTTTTCAATTACAGTTCATGTAAAAACTGAACAGTGTGTATGCAAATGTGTGAAAGAAGTTGGTTGACAAAATATATACATATATAATAAAAAGAAATCTAAGTCATATTTCCTTGGTGTCAAGTATATCTCCTGCTCTAATTCCACAAATCTTTCCTTAGATCAGAATCAAAGCTTTCAACTATACATGCATCTTCTGATATACCCCAGTACCACAGTTTCATCTGCTAATTGTGAGGAAATGGTATTTTAATAAAAATAGTATTCCATTCAATATTAGTAGTAGTGTTGGTTGCTCCACATAAAAAAGTGTCTTGTAAATCTTGACAATAAAGCTGCTGTTTGACAGAAACATTAGCTTTAAAGTTCAGGCAGCAAGTTTTAAACTTAAAAGTCTTGACTTTCCAAACACAAAAGAATTTTTTTTCCGATATTCTTAATGAATGCAAACAGAACAACATGCTGTCATTTTTTTTGTTGAATATTTAATACTTTCAAATTCTTAAAACAAAATGCTTAAATAGAATTACTTCCACAGTCATTTTTTTTTTTCCTATCACTGACACTTTTCCTCCCTTTCTCTTTAGGAAAGTCCATTCCAAAAAGACGTGCTATCATGAAGCTTAACTCAGAACTGAATTTAACACCACTGAAAACCATGCTGTGTTTTTCCACAGAATACACATACCACAATACAAATTGTGAAACCAGCATTGCCAAGAGAACATGTTCCTTACTATGACATCTAAGCCACTACAACACCACAAGCATTGCCTAAATCAAGTTTTTTCTTACCTGAACAGCACTATTAAGAAAGCAGCTGTTTTGTCCTGGTTCATTTAATAAACCTTTTGTAGGGGCCAGGGACAGTATACTTCCAGGTTGATAAACTTTTCCAAGGTTACTCCCAGGTTTTCTTAAGAATTTCACCCATGCCATTATTTTTTAGACTTTATAACTGCAGTATTTATCCTGAAATATTGAAGGATATGATGGGTGCAAGGCAAAGAGGGTCCTTAAAGAATTCCTGTGAAGTCACGGCATTCCGTTCAACTCTGTGCAAGAGTTAATGTTAATGGGCTTAAGTCTGTTTTCCATGAGCAGCCATCAGCATCTATCAGCATCAGTCTCTCAGTTAAAATCCAGCTCTAAAAGTTTTTAACTTTCAGACTTTACCAAAAAAAAAAAAAAAAAAAAGTGTCCAGTTACGGTTAAAACATGTTTAAAGTGATTAGAATAAAAGTTCTTACTAAGCAAGTTGCACAGTAACTGACTTCTTCCAGGGATATCAGTAAAGTATTACTACAACTCATTAGTTGAATTATATTGCAAGTTTATATATAGCACAAAAATGGAGAGCTCTTGACAGGTGTTATACTCCTATTCTCTCATGTCGCTTCATCTTCTTTTTACTTTTAACTGTGACCCCTGAAATGTATTCCACTGTAGAAGATTCCATGCTTATTTCATTTTCTTTTCAGTGCATCTGAAATAAAAAAGCCAAACAACAGAAAATATAAAAACAGTATTCTTCAAAATGTTAAAGACCTTCTAAATCAGAAAGTAGATTGTAGCCAAAATAACCCCTTAATCTAAAGACAGGTGCAATAACCAGGGAAGGAGGTGAAACAATTGCCTTCTCTAAGTTGTTTTTAAGGCAGAAAAAATTAATATTATCTGTTATAGTCAATCAATTATCCTGTAACTTCTTATACACCCCTAAAGACCACAATAAAATTACTGTAAAGGTTCTGCTAACAATATATGGCCTTTTTATAAGCTGCTGCATAACACACGAGTTATTCTAACTTTGAATCTGCAAGTCAAATAAAAGATTACCATGAAATATTTTTATTCAACACTTGAAAGCCCAAGATGGTTTTGATTTCAATATCCCAGCAACCCACACGAACTGACAGGTATTTCCATGTCCTAAGATGACTGAGATGTGTAGATGTATCCTCAGCTTTCAAAACTTCCTACTACCTAGTAAACACCACGTAAATAAGTCATTAACCTAGTTGCATTCTTAAAGCATCCAGAAAAACACAGCTAATAGCAGAGCAAAAACACTCTGGTAGATGCTCCAATAACTGCTTCCAAGATTTTCAAATTCCAACAGTAAGAGCTGTTTCTCTCATTGCTGAAGTTACATATTTAAGGTTAAATGACTCATCGTCCAGAACATCACCACAGGCACATGTAAAGCCCATGCAGCTACCATCTCACAACACTGGATTATTCAGTTTGGCATTGCTATGCCATCCACAGAGACATCTGAAGCAACAGCACAGAATAAACTTAAATAAATCAAAGTGATTAAGGCTGCGTATTTGGTAAAGATCCCCCCAAAAAAGTGAAATTTGAGCCTCACATTATAGCAGAGATAGTGACCTCAATTTACATGCCTATGAGATTCTAAAGGGGTTTAAGTGTACTTTTTTCCACTGTACAAGACTTTCAAGATTGGTGAGTAGCATAAAAAAAAAAAATTGTGGCTGCAATGCTGCATATATTGGACAGTAACTTTCCTCAGCTCAAAACAACCAACCACACATTCACATTCAACAGTTCTACAGCTCTCAAATATTTTACAGATGGGATACCACAGAAATAAATCACTTGATTTTCAAAAATACCTGGAGGAAGCCTTGAACCCCTAAAACTCTTCCCCTTTATTTAAAAGAAACATTGGTACTTGCTTGTATTATCAAAAAAAAAATCAATAACTGGAACCTAACCAAAAGTCTCCTTTGCCCCATGCATAATCAGATGCTTTTGTTTGTTTACTGATGTTACTGTATCTCATCCATAAGTAATTTGATTTAATAATACTGGAAATTGTAAGTGTGATTTGTGACAGCACTGAGCAAGGACTCCAATATCTAAACTGTAAGCTGACCTTGATGGAATACATGTGATCACTTTGTTTTCTTTATGCTCACTTCAATTAACCCAGAAAGGGGAAGAAGCATGTAGAGAGTAACAGGAAATGCATATCAATTGAAGATCTTATTAGTACCTTAAATTATTTATTTATAAATTATTTAGGCGTTTCAACTTCAATTTCCTTTTTTTTTTTCCCCCCCCACATAAAAGTCAAGGAGCTCCACAGTGTAACAGCTGTTCTACAAAGGACCAAACTCCATGAAAATGGGGATAGAGGTGATGGGAAAACAAAGATTAAACAAAAAAAGCGTAACGATTCCCTGAAGTCAGGTACGCAGAAGTAATAACATCATCTCTACAGAGCAATCAAAGGAAAGAAAACATTTTTAAACATTTTCATTAGAAAGTTTCAGTACTGCACATAAATAGAAAATAATGAATCACTACAGTAAGGATGAATAAAGAGGAATAAAGGAAAAAATCTGAAGTGTTTAGATTCAGATAGATATATATGCACACGTACAAAAAAAGTACATATACACGCAGAAGAAACCAGCACCACACATCAAAAGTGCTTAGTAATACAAAGCACCATTTGGCCCAAAGTCTCCTGCTATCACAGGGAACCATAACTTTTAATTCCTACAAATAACATTGTAAGTATGATTAAAATAAACAAATCCCAGAAGAATCTTACATCCCACGCTTTCCACCATCAAATAGTTTCTACTAATTTCTGCATCCATACTAAAAAAGTGACCTAACACATTTTTGTCACAAAAAGAGCTTGCTCCTTCATGTACCAGAGCAGCTTCTTGAGCACACATTTTCCTGGCAATACGCTTCTTAATTCCACTTTATGTTATTTCCCATAAGGAGAATTACATACGGTTTTCTCTGTCCTCCTGCTGCTGTCCCAGAAGACAAAACTGAAGTTAAGATAAGCAAACAATTGTTTGTAATCAGCAGTATCAAAGTGGGTACACTTAAGGTTGGCCTGTGGTAGCCATAAGGAAGCAGATGGCAAGTAAGGTGGACTGTAGGCCAATGATAAAATACAGAAGCTACTTGGAAGAGGCATGTTTCTGGTACCTAAATTTCATCTGTAAACAGACCTCACATATTCAGCTGTGAGGGTGGACTACAGTTGGTTATTTAAAGAAATCCAAGGATAGACAAGAATGGCAGGATTCATTTCCACCCAAAAAAGAGAAAAGTTGAACCCTTGCTAAGTTATTTTCTCAGCTGAGGAAAAGTGTAAAGATAGACACAAAATCATGTTGAATTTGGGAAACACTTGTGTTCTTTTTTCCTTTACATGCAAACGGAAGACAACTACTACAAACACACCTGTGGAACCAATCTCTTAAGATCAACAGACAAAAATTTTAATAAAACACTCAGAAGAGTTTTACTCCTGTAGTTCTCTTGTTCAGTTTTGGGACTTAATTTAAGTCACAATTGCAGAAGAGATTCCATAAGTTTCTATGGTTCTTTCTTATTGTACTTTCAAGCAAAAATTCCCCGTGTTTCTAAACAGATTTATGGATGGACGTGGCAGGGAAGAACCTCTGAATTTACCCAGTCTTATTTTAACTGCTAAAAAATACGCATGCTGGTCTGGAAACAGGAGCTCTTCCAAAAGAATTTAAAACAAAAAGCATTAATTCACTAAGAACTCCTAGTAAGTCATTTTGCCACCCATTTCAGGGATCCCCCAGAACAAACATGCCATACACTAAGCATTTAGCTGTGGGGCTGGGTTTCAGAAAAGTTACAATTCACTGCAAGGATTTAATAAAAAATGGTCTGGAAATACTATTGTCCTGTACCCAGCTCTCTGGCCAACATGACTAGTAAGCCATAGCCTGGAGTAGGAGGTTCCACTACCCTCTCTCCACCAACAGCCTGTGTCAAGTACTATGATGCACAGCTTTTTATTCACTAGGAAGAACAGCACTGGAGACGAGCTTCCAAACATGCCATAAGCAATGGGATTGACTTCTGTCATCCATCTGTCATCACAGCCTCTCCCTAAGGACAGAAAATTTATAGCAGCGTCTTATTTTGAAATTTACATTGCACAAATATCTCAAAGGTTGGTTTGGATAAAAAAGAGAGAGAAAAGCCAAGATGAAGAGTAAGCTGTTGTGCAGGACGCTGGTAAAGATGCATGCTTTCTAGTCACAGCAAAGTTTCTGGATATGGGCCATACCTCAAGAGTACTACCCCCCTGCTGTCAACAAGCCTGCCCTCACTGTACATCATCCCATAAACCAGAGAGGTGATGTTGCTGATCAGCCCTGGTTCTCTCCACCTCCCACAGCATTTGGTTAAGATTCTAGATGACTAGGACTCAGACCACTAACTCCCTTAAACTAAATTCAACACTCAGTAAGGACTGAAGAAATTCTTCACCATGAGAGTGGTGAGACCCTGGAATGGGTTGCCCAGGGAGGTGGTTGAGGCCCCATCCCTGGGGGTCTTTAAGGCCAGGCTGGATGAGGCTCTGGGCAGCCTGATCTAGCGGGAGGTGTCCCTGCTCATGGCAGAGGGGTTGGAACTGGGTGATCCGTGTGGTCCCTTCCAACCCTGACAGATTCTGATCTGCGTTAGCAGAGGACTTAGTAGTGTTGGCTTAATGGTTGGACTTGATGATCTTAAATGTCTCTTCCAACCTAAAGGATTCTATGATTGTATGACTGTATTGAGGAACTCAAATCTGCTCCTACACATTTGTGACAAGCCAATGTTGCGAAGAGCACTGTAGCATTTATTAGCCACAGGGGTTTACCAGGTCTTTGGCAAAGGCGTGGGTGATTGAGGACAGTTCCTAAATCATTGAACCAGCATCTTCAGGAGGTGCAATCCTTCAGCAGAACAGTTATTTCACAGTGTCACTGACACGCTACACAAGATTTTTAGCAGCCGAGAGTTAAAAATATATCCTTGCCTTTCAGACTAAAGGGATTGATTTTGCACGACTGTTCACATCCAAAGACGCCAAACAAGGGCTACAAACTCTCAAACCAACATCTATTTATTAGCCT